TGTGTTTAAGATCGAAATCAATTTTTTTATAAGCACTTTTTTTATAAACGTAGAATGTGTGTCAATAAGAACATCCAATATGTGACTGCCGCTCTTTCATTAAAGAGCATTTTGTATTCACTTACAATTCATTATTTCGAGTCCGCAAATGTAGATTTTGAGTTGGATTTCGATTAATCTTGACATGAGATTTAAAATTAACGACCCTAAAACTCTCGAGAATATGTATTTTCAGATTTATTGAGTCATTAGAAAAGTTCAACTGCACCCAGAAAAGTTTCTTTGATTCAAACTTTTCTTTGGATTTTGACCTTACTAGACTTTTACTTACAATAATTGCAGAGAAATGATTTCTTTACCTTAATCAAAATTTTATTTGATTGAGACTGGAATTTCTAAGAGCATTGACATCTATTTTTTCAAATCTAGCAAATGTTTTAGTAGAAGTAAATCAAAATTTAATAGATTCAAAGAAACATGATTTCAACGTATCTCATTTGTTTAATCTAACTAAATCCTTTTTCTAAGCGAGGACCTCAGTTACCCCTCATAGTCCTTTCCGCAAGTATTTTTCACGCGGTCCTCCAAGAGTTAAAGATAAATCTCAATGTTGACTCACAATTAGTGCACGAAAAAGAATGAGCCTTGTACAACCTGCTGTGTCGCGGATTTGCCTCTTTGATTTTCGTATTGCGCGTGATGCGTCGCGAAATGCATTTCGCGTGCGTCTCGTAGATTTGGCCGCGTGTCGGGGGAAAAGAACAGACTTTGCAATTCTGATCGCAGCCGTTCGCAGTTACGGGTGGGACTTAATTTGCCCGGGGGAGTGCGTTCGCGGGGGTGTACAGACGGTCCTCTTGCGACGGCAACGCTCGGGAATTCGCGCTGGAATCATACCGGGATCGCCGGTCCCCCACAGCGCTGCACTGTCTGTACCGCAAAACTCATTGCTGAAGCTTTCGCAAATAAATCGCGTCGATCGTATTTAACGAAAATGGTTTACTCGTGTTGATTGCACCGTTTAATGCTCCTCCACCCCCGCGCGAAAAATATCATAGGTGGATTTTACTTTTAAACGCACCATTCCCGGGATAATCTTTCCGTTCGGTCAAATCGACGTAATTTTATTGCCATCGAATCTGTTCGCAGCGGCCGAAAAAAAACCAACGTCACGTTTTCGCATGTGCGATTAGCATGTAACTTGCCCCAATATTTTGATCGACGCGCTCATGTAACCAGATTTTTTAAACCGATTAAAAAACCAGTTTCGATGGAACGCTGATTAATCGTAATTGATACTTTTCGAGCGTTAGTAACGAATAATCTTTAACCGATATTAATGTAAATAAATCGGCATTCCTCTCGTAAATACATTAAACTGAATACCTGCATATCAAGTTATCGCAAGTGATTGTTTACCATAACCGGGTGTTCATTTACGACTTGTTCGTTCGTGTATTCTGTTGATATTTTCAACAAACATAAATTTGCAATCGCTGGAATCTGACGTTGATGATATTAGCATTATTTGAATAACAATAGATAACAGTACAGGAGATACAAATACGCATAGTAATAATGTAAGTAGGTATAAACTTGTTCGCAACTCGACTCCAGCTATCACAAAGACATCAAATTAGCTGTTGAGAGATATGCTGTAATAATAATCCTCACAAGATTAATTGATCCATTCGGAATTTGCGAGGGGCAAACCGCCGAGGGCATTGTGGTGTACAGATTTGCGGCATTACTGGGCATTATTAGGCATTTTTTTTTTAGCACTAGGCCTTGGCATTATAAAGATAAAATAAGATAAAATAAGTTAATAAGCAAATAATAATCGCTCGTGTTACATTCAACAAACAACAAGTAAGAAGGGAGATCAAGATTTGCGAGCATATAGATTGACAATTTAATATATGTATAATTCAATGTTGTTACATTTGAGGATATAAGATAATAAGGTAAATGAGATAAACTAAGATCATAAGATAAAGTAATGCCCACTTGGCATTAGTGGGCATTGGTGTACATGATTTTGGTCAGCGGTTTACCCCTCGGGAATTTGTGATACTCAAACGAGGGCATCTGATTTTATCGTTATTTAGGTACAGTGTCATCTATTAAGATTAATCTTTATACAGGCGGTCGAATTATCGCTATTCATCCAGAGTTTTGACGTTAGAGGCTAAGTGTATTCAAATTCACATTTCTCTTCGTTACGCTGCTCTCGATGCGATGGATCCCTGACTTTCTTTACTTGTAACATAGGCAAGGCGAGTTGTTAAAACTTTGTTATAAATTTCCAAGTTGGGGAAAGCGGGAAAGACGATGGGGTGATGGCGGCGAACGAAAAGAACAAGCGCAACCACCTCTCATCAGACGGGAAGTCTGCTTGCTAATTATTGGGAGAAAATAAAAATTCTGAATTTATCATTCATGCGGGCTATCGTGACGTACAAAAGCCCTTTAATTTCAAAATATAAATCCATTATGAATACGCCTGCGTATCTTGTTGCTCCGCGGAAATTTATTACTCTCAATTTCGCGACGCATTTACCGTTGCTAATTTACGTATTTCCTCCACTCAGTCGGTTTATCAAAAGCTCATTTTAAGTTCTTTTTTTTCGTGTAATTTAAAAATTATAAATGCTAAACGTTCTATACAGGTGATATAGAATGGGGACTAACTTTATTTACTTGATAAAATGTACCGCCGTCATCGTATTGGCTTCTACCGCGTGCAGAAACGAGCGGCTTTATGAAAGTATAAAAATCCATCGTCCCAATTGACGTTGGCGAGCGAGGTAATTTCGTGTTGCGTGGCGCATTTTCTTCTTTCAAAGGAAATTGCTGAAACGTTAAGTGTTTCGTTAAATTAGCTTTCTTTACGAATAATTAGTTGTAAGAAGTGGCGCTACCGGGGGGAGAGTGGGGGGGGGGGGGCATAGAAAGTAGTTGGGGTCTCGAGAGTTTAAATGTAGATACGTCGGGCAGTGTACGGGTACGAAACTAACGCGAGGGGAACGAGGAACGAGCGAGTATTGCGTCCTTCAAAAGAAGTCTCCGGAAACTTAGAACTGGCATCGCGTCGGTCCACATTTTTCAGGATGCCTTTCAAACGAAAATTAAGCAGGAAAAAGCTTTCTCAACTTTCCGAGTCTTATTCGTAGTAAACGTGGAAATTCGCATCTTTTTGCCATCAAGGAACTTAACTGACACTTCAGGCTGTATGAAAAACGCTTTGTGACGCAACGTCGTAAAATTGTTTACAAGACGAAAGTCTTACTGCAAAGTCCTTTACAAGTATCCGATTGATAAGCTTCACATTGCTTTGATATTCTGATGAAATTAATAATTAATCAAGGTTTGTAAATTGGAGGATTACAATTTTCTATCGTTGAAGAAATTTATTCATTAAAAATGAATTATTATGCGAGGTTTAATATATACGTGTACAAAATTGATAATTTAACAGTATCGTACTGTTCGGCTCTGTTTAATTTGCGTCGTTGATGCGTTCTCTTAATATTTTTATGTATTTGTAAGTATTCTTGCTCTTATTATGTGGCACGATTTCACGTGGTGCCGTCTGTTTCTTTCTCATTTCTGAGGACTTGGTGTAACATGTGCACAATATTAAACGCGGTCAGCTCTTCTTATTTGGGCAAACTCATTCCGCGTATAAGCCGCTCGAATAAAATGAGTTACTTGTTTATTTTACCTACTTGTATGCTGAACGTAATTGTGAGCGTTTTGTAAGTTGTACATAATATTAAATTTACGCGAGACGAAAAGAAGTCAACGTTCGAAAAAGGTACGAAAGAAACAATAAAATAAAGTTTAAAATTGCATAAAATTCATTACTATAAAAGTATAGAAAAATTGTAACAAAGAGTGTACTAGAATAATTAAATTACAATTATTATAATTTTATAATGAGATCACATGCATGATAAAATATTACATTTTAGATAATAAATCTTACAATTAGTACAATTAACGAGAAATAAAAGCTGTAAAATATTGAAACACACCGCGCAATTTGTGGTAGCGTAAAATGCGCGCAAAAATGAGACGTAAAATTCACTTCGGAGACATCCGGAAAGTATTCAATTTACAATCAACGATTCGGAAGCACGTTTTTCCACGTTGTCACAACAGTTAAGTGTCCGATGTACGAAACACGAGTCCAGCAGGTTATCAAAATGTCGTAATAAGTGGAATGGATATGACGAAAGATTCACACGTTCCGTCGACAGCGCGTAAACACGCTCCCGCGCGGGCGTGAAAACGCGCATCGCCCGCAGAGTAGGTATAAAGTGCCACATTTCCTAAAATATTACGCATAGCGTGGCATATGTTCCTGATGCTTCTGAGGAGGGAAGTAACCCCGCGGAGTTTTGTTCCCATTCGCGGCTTGTAGACCGTACCCATTTCCGTGTAGCCCGGAGGTACTACGTAATAAGAGCCTCATTCTGCACCAAGGAGTCGCGCAAGACTCCCTCCCTCGTTCCACATCGCCCCCCCCTCTCGCCCCATCTCGCTCCACTTTAATACAAACGCCATCCAAAGCTCGGCTTCCTCGTGGCTTAATAGGTCGAATCGTCGATAATCCTCGCATAACGGAGTTTCAGCAAAAAAATACCGCGTTCGTTGGAGCGTGAGGGTTAGTTTGCGGAGCGCCTCGTACGGGTTACGCGAAAATGGGGTTGGTGTATGAGATGCGGCTGGGGGCTGTAATATATGTATGTAGATACGTGGCCGCGCGCGCGGACGTGAGAGCTCGCGCGTGCGTGTGTTTGCGGTTGCATGCATAGTTGCGAGGGACGCCGAGAGGGCGGCCGGGGGGGGGGGGGGAGAGGGAAATTGTCATTCGGCGGAATTGCAATTTCTCGCTGACGCGTGCTGTGCAACCTCTCGCGCGCGACGAGTAAAAGCGAACTAATGATGCGCACTAGACTTAATGCCCTGTGTTCCTGTTCTCATTTTCCTGAAAGGTGCGAGCTGTCTGCGGAAGGTCAGCCTAGAGCTAGATCCGGAGGTGGTGCAACGTGGCGAGAAGGTGATTCTGCGGTGCCATTATGATCTCGAGGAAGCGCTACTCTACTCCCTCAAGTGGTACCGGGGCAAGCACGAGTTCTACCGATTCTCGCCCGCTGAGGAACCATCTACCAAAGTCTTCAACATTTCTGGGATTAATGTCGACGTAAGTCACTAAACGAGATCGCTGATAACGCTTCGCAGTCATTTCGAATGAATTCCCCTGTTGCCGATGTTATACAGTGATGGACACAGTGGTTGCAATACGGTTTTTTTTTTTAATGAGTTTAGGAGCGCGATTTATTTAGATTCAGGTTTCTGTTTCGAAACATTTTCTCTGAGGGAAAGTTTGCTCGAGAAATAGATGGGAAACGCTCAAAGTGGTTTCGGAATGGTCATCGAGTAAAATATTGCTCGGAGAAGAAGATTTTGGAACGTAGCCCTGAATATAAATGCACGTTCCTAAACTCATTAAATAGAAAAAGTGTCGCAGACATTTTGTCACTGTACATTTGATATTGTAATCAGTAATGAAATATTCATAATGATAGTATATTGTATATTATACCTGTTTTCAGTATAATTTTGTATTAAAAAGATATAACGTGCAAAGAGGGTAATTCAATTCGTCTCGCACATTATTTTCTCGAGACAGATATGAAGTATAAAATTACATACACCTGCATAAACGCATGAGTACTTTTTCAGATAAACATTTTAAATAATACATTGTCTTGCATAATGACATTGATTGCAAAGAATTAATTTACATCGTTTTCTATAAATTTTAATATCTATCTGAAATATATTTGTGTCTTTCGCAAGACAGACTTTAATTTATTCAGGTGTAATTCTTCACTAATGAAAACTGCAATAAAGTATTTTTTAATTGAGAGTATGAATAGAATTCATTAATGTGGAAATTTTAATAAAATGAACGATGTTTTGAATTCCAAATGGCAAATATTTGGCATTTAATAAACGTTAATAAAATATAAAATGAGCCATTTCTGTACAGATAATAATGTATTGGTATACAATTACCAAAATGTAAATTGAAAGTGGATCGATAAGCAGTAATTTCACACATACGCAGAAAATACGCGATAAAATAAAATAATATTATATAATCTAAATTATATGCGGAAGAATATTTGATATAAATGTATCTCTCTACGATGCACGTATAGTATCTATAGTATAAATACGCTTGAATATTTTTATTCCTTCTTTTACGTACTAAGGAACTTTTTATTTTTCCTAGTATCTCGTCAATTAGTTTTACTATAATAATATATATAATAATTTGACATATTAAATTAAGTTATACCTTTTATTTAATGGCATTCCGCATACTGAAAATTTTCCGTGATTGAGAGGTGACTTTAATCGAGCACACTTCTTTCTCGCGGCTAAGATCAAGTCTATTATAAATCCATTGATGGGAAAATGTAAAAGGAAAGCGTAATCGTGTTCCAATATATTCAGTACCAGCCGCACTCTTTGTGCCCGCGCTGATAAATCATATTATAATCTCCTTCTTTTCTTGTTACCGCTTTTCTTCAACACCCGCTATAATCCTATCCCTTCAAAACACTGTGATCACGCGTGATCGTTAAAAAGGAGGACGCGCCGGAGATCTTAACGACCGGCCACGGATCACCGAGCGGCGAAGGGGCGGTAGACGGGGGACATTTGTTAATTGGAACACACTTTTACGTATGCCCCAACGGGAAAACTGCGGCTATCCTTTTCGGCCGAGCCGCGCGGATCGCGGGGCATGGGGGTTGGCGAACAACGAAATATGCGGTTTTATCGTATCACCGTAACGCAAACCGCCGGGTCGCAGGGCGCGGCGCCTCGTTAACAGCACCCTTGACCGCTGTAATCGCCGTAAAACAGTCGGGGGTCCACGGCGCTTTTATCATCGCTCGAACATTTCCGTAGGCTGTTACACGCGGGCCGGGCGCGATGGTTTGCGGGGCGGCGTGGCGACCGCCAATCGGGCTATGGGTTGTGCCGCCTGCACTCGCGCTGCGCCAAAAACAAGCCCCACGGTACCGTCGTGTTCCGGTACAGCCGAATGAACGACCTGACAAACCGTGACAACGCGCCGCACGTTCCCCGTTCCCGTTTACGTTTATCGTTTCGAAACAACGGTACACGCGCGGCCGGCTCTCCGGTGACGAACGGGAAGTAATGCACCGCGCCGTGAGGGGTATAAAAGCGCCGATTTCGAAAAATACGTCCTCCTCCTCCGGTCCCACCTCTCCGTTTGTTTCCCCTCCCCCACGGGGATGGCTGCGAGAAAAAAAATTGTTTTGTTACTTGGCTTGTTCGGAGGGTGATATTCGATTTGCTATGCGCATACTCTGGTCGGGGGGGGGGTTCATATACCCATATCGGAAATACGTTTGGCAGTATTTTGATGCGTACTTTGTTTCCGTGGGTTGTGAATATTGCGATACTCCAGTTGTTACACCAGATATGTTTTATTTAATATACCCTTTATATTCGGGCATGAATCGCTGGCACGTTCGCAGCGACGCGTGTCCGGAGGGCACGGGGGAGGAAAAAAAAAGATAATTTTCACTCGGCTGTTTTTCGCCGCGGTATTAGATCGTTTATGCGATTACGAACGCGAATTATCGTGTTATTACACCGTGCGCTCTCCGCTCGGCGCGCGGCGGAAACTTCTCGCGTAACAAATTTGATTCTGTATGCAAGTAAAGAACAGTTATTGTTGCGGATTCCGCGCGCACGCGGAAATTCTGCGTATGTTGAAAGTGCTAAACATCGAGTTAACCAATTCGACTCCGGCGTTTGTGGAGTCAAAGCGACGAAACATTTACGCGAGTCAACAAAGCGCCGCTCGGGCAGGTGTTGCGGCACAGAACATTATGCAGTGTGTTAAAAGCGCGCTCGCGAAATATAAAGGCCGATACTACACGTATCAACATATTCAACCTGCCTCGTCCCGCGTTCCGCGCCGCATACATCATCGATATTATTGACTTAGGGCCTGAGCAGAAAGATTGTCGTAACCGTTTACGATTCTGTCGTAAGACTTAAGTCGGTGTCGAAAGTCAACGCATAAAGAATTGTCGTAGACGTATGTCGCATTCATCGCATCGCAAGGTTTCATATGTTTACGACAATTCGTTGTGCGTTGACTTCCGACATCGACTTAAGTCTTACGGTGCGATAACTGCGACATACGTCTACGACAATACTTTGTGCGCTGACTTTCGACTTCTGTTTAAGATTCTGTCGTAAGACTGAAGTCGGTGGCAAAAGTCAACGCACAAAGAATTGTCGTAGACGTATGGCGCATTTATCGCATCGCAAGGTTTTATACGTCTACGACAATTCTTTAAGCGTTGACTTTCGACTTCCGTTTATGATTCTGTCGTAAGACTTAAGTCGACAATTCGTTGTGCATTAACTTCTGACACCGATTTAAGTCTTGCGGTGCGATAAATGCGACATACGTCTACGACAATTCTTTGTGCGTTGACTTCCGATACCGACTTAAGTCTTACGACAGAATTGTAGACGATTACTGCAATTTTTTTGCTCAGACCCTTAGGCTAGTATTGCATTTGTCGT